GCCAGGGCGGGTGTGCCAGTGTCCCGAGCGCTCCGCTTTGCGCGGGAAGCCGGGGCAGGTGGAGCCGCCGGCGCAGGGGGACCGGCTCAGCCCTTGTCGTTGTTGCCCTCCGCTCTCCTCTCGGCCCCGCGGTAGAGCCTACCCCACCCTCCCTTCCGGTGACCGACCGCATCCGACTGAAGCCCCGAGGCTGACCTCACCGCAAAGCACCCGTACTGCTGTTCTCCTGATCCCTGATGCAGACCCAGTGGGACAGGGAAACTAGCGCGGCTGCCAGCACAGCCCCTCGGCTGTCCAACAACAGCCTGACCTTTTTTCTTATTACAAGCAACCAGGTTTAGCTTCCGCTGCCTTGTATTCTGAATGCACTAGTGGAACTCACGGATTTTGTGAGTCCTTCTGACACACCCTCACGCTGGGTCTGCGTGGAGTTCCTGGAACATAACGAAAACTGTGTGAGTGGGGCATGGGTTCATTCACACCACGTATACAGAGAGCTAGAGTTCTTGAGAACCAGCTACTGGGGCACAATCTTCATCTGGGACACAGACACGGCCTGCCCCTTCCCAGCCTCTGCCTTGCTGCACATAAAATAGTTCAGGTTCCTTTTTTTGCCACAGTTTTTTTGCTTTCATGAATTTGTTTGGGTTGGGTTTTTGCAGAAAAGACGCCCTCAAAAGAACAGGACTTCACTCAGTTTTGCTTTCGACTTCTATAAGATCTGATATTTTGGTACGAGCCCCCCAGGCATGGGGGTACTAATGCTATGAACTCATTGCTCCCAAAGACAGAATTAAATAGGCAGAGGCAGAAAATAATAAAGCTATCACATGTCAGGGTTCACACTGTCAACTTCTGCTACTGTAAGGTAAATGCTGCTAGAGATTGCAGAGGGTAAGAAGAGCACAATAAACATACTTTGGGATGCTGCCACAAGTTGACTTTAATAGCTCTAATTTAAAAAAAAATACTCCAAGAAAAAAAAAAGCTACACCCCTTTTCTTTGTTATTCTCTGAGTAGATTAATAACATGCTTTGAATAAATTTTCTTTGTTATTCTCTGAGTAGATTAATAACATGCTTTGAATAAATACCTGTGTGCTGGCCTGGAATGAAACTGGCCAACACTTTTCTCAATCACTTTATAGGTAACAGCAAAAAACATTTTTAGACTCATATATTGAAAAATCTGTGATTATAACTTGCACAAGGGTCTGAGAAAAACATTTTCCAGGTGTTTCTCTCCAAAATTTTAAAAGTCAGGTTTTCAGAAAGACTTTAAAGTTTCCTTTTTGAAGAAGACTGAAGACTGTGTCTTAAGAACTGATTAAGCTTTGTCAGCCTTCCCTAGTGTTTTACATACTTTTTGGACTATTTGGTCTTCTTTAGTGGGGAAGCTTCAAGTTCAGAGCTTCAATTGAATTCTGCATGCAGCAAGGGATCTCACTGACAGAAAATCCATAATGGACGAGAGCACAGTAGAGCTGACCACTGCAAACTGCAAAGAGGCTGTGAACAACTGCAAGAAAGGGCACAGTAACTCTATATAAATCAGACATAATTCATACTCAAAAAAATTGTTAACTATATTTACCAGCTGCACTCTGCTCAATGGACGCCAAAATACTTTATTAAAAAAAAAAAATCTTTAAAGATTCAAAAATCAGTATTTTATCTTATCAAAGTCTCCTGCTTTCTAGAAAGCCACAACACATCAGAAAGGGAGAGGGGTCACCAGACAGACATGGGACAACACAAAACAGAACAGTTTCCTTTAAAACTCAGACTAAAAACATACATCTTCCAGTTTGCAAAGAATCTGGCAGCTGAACACCATGCTCAGATTTCTTGGGAGGCTTTTCAAGTTTGTAACACAATTTATACTTAAAATACTTTATTTCCATTATAGTCTTCAGACCACAAGGTATGCTTAAGATTGTAGCACGGCAGACCCAGGGCCCTTACATATACTCAGCTATCTTCAGAGATCCAGCTGATAGCTCACAGCTACTTTAGATAAAAACGGAGGGTTATGCCAAACACTTCCCGTTTTTCATCATATGGTACTACAGTTGTCTTTGGTGGATGTTCTGGCAGATGAACGGGCACAGAGACATAAGAGCAGTATTAAGAGGGCCCAACTAATCATTTAGTAAACAAGACAGTGTCCTCTGGGAACAAAAACCAGGATGTTAATGGCATCAACCCACTGGTACAAAGCTGTTAATTGCTGTGGAGTGTATTAATTTTACCATTTTCTAGCCCCTGAATAACTATATGCATTTAGTTTTCATGGTGAACTGCTGACAGGAGAGGAACCAAGATGAATCCCAGAACATGGAAGCGACTTTAAAGACACAAGTCTTGACCTTAAAAATGTTTCTCTGCTCCATAACACGCTCACCAATCCATTTCACTCACAGCTCCCTGTCCTGTTCCCTCTTCCTGTCAGGGTGCTTTCTTCCCCACAGTGCCTGTGCCTCACAGGAGTAACAGCAGAGAGGAGCTACCCCTGCTCTCAAGGGCAGCACAGTCATGAGGAATTCCCACTCTGTCTGGACTCCAAAAGATCAGCACAGAACACCAGCAGAACTTGACTCTAAGACTAATGAGTCCAATGACATATGCTATAGCTCTTGAAAACACCATCACTTTCATGACTTCATGACTTTTAGGCCAAAGGACTGTAATTTGTTTGCCAGTAATTCAGTGCAAACTAGGACAGTAAAAAGAAAACTTCCAACTTCCAAGAGGATCTATATTCTGGCAACTCCTGTTCTCCTCAGCTGAAGTTTACAAAGGTACCTTGGAAGATTCCAAATACAGTTGTAGGAACTCAGCAAGTTACACGCTACAGAAGAGAAGTGACAGGTGAAAACTTTGGCTAATGATCATGGTAGGCATTATGGTCTCGAGCAACTTATAAACATCAACCACTTTATATGGAAATACAACACAGCCTCAATTAGTAAGAATTGAGACAGTGATGATGTCCACATTTAGGAAGCTGTTCATCCTAGCTACTTGCCTTTTAATTTTAAGACACGGTTCTCAAGTTTTAAGAAACAGCACAGAAGCGACTTCTGAAGAACAGAGATGCACTCTTCCATGGTCCCCATAAAACTGTCATGCTTCAAACTAAGAGACTTGATTCCCTACCAAAACTGTAATTAAAAGCCAATACTGGACAACATACATTGTTTTGTTCATGATCATGATGTTTTCCTATGGCATGAATACCACCAGGAACAAACAAACAAAAATCTTCACTCTTCTATTGCTGTTTTGTTATCGTGGGAATTCTGTTTTCAAATTCAGTTTACAGTTATTGCATATGCTACTTCGTATTAAAAGTTCAGTATAAAACAAGGCGAAAGCAATAAAATCAAATCATTCAGTCCCATGTCAGACATCCTCTCACTTTGACTCGAGTTAAAGTTCTTTTTTTGTTAAACAAGCATCGCGAATCCTGCATAGCAGTACAGCTGAAGATACATAGTGTACACTAATAACCAAGAACTGAAGCAAAATCAACTGATTATACATGAGCTTCAAATCCTTTGCAAAGTACTTTGATGCAAAAGTCTGCCTCTGACTTAGATGACTAATCCAGATAAGTCATCTTCCCTGCGAGAGATACATACAGCCTCTTCATCTTAAGAAAGTAATATGAATAAGATCAAGTAACATTAAAAGCATGAGTCCACCACAGTTCTCACCACCTTCCCATAAAAAGGTACAGAGAGGACTTATTTATACATCATATGAAGTATTATTCTGTTTTATCTTCATCCTCTGCAGCATAGATAGCTTGATTCCTTCTCTTAATTTTTTTAATGCCACTGTTTCCATTTTCATTACCACCAATACGCTTTAATGGTCTCTCATTTAAGCTCTTCTCTTCCACCTGCTTACTCACCCCAGACTTCTCCAGTTCCTCATTAGTAGAATCCATAGCATCATCGGATGATACCGCCATGGAATCTGGCATGATCCGGATGTCAGAAAAACTTGCAGAAAAGTCAGGAGGATGATCAGGGGAAGGATCTACAGAACATGTGCTCAAATCTTCATCACCACCTTCTTCATCCAGCATTATTTCATCTGGATTAATGGATGAAAGCGCAGAATTATCTGTATTATATTCACTGGGTTCCTCTGCGGACCCAGTACTGTCCATCTCCTCTTCCTCCTCCTCCTCTTCGTATTCGCCTTGTACTGAGCCCTCCTCTTTAGCTCGCTGGATCCTGTTGTTGATGTCAGTGAGGCCAAACTGGGCACAAAACTCAGTGGTCTGTGGATTGATGGTATGAACTGGTTCCATGTGTTTTGGGGGCTTGCTGGGATCATAACAAGCAGCTGTCAATGTGAAGTTACAAGGAATTTTGAGGTTATGATTCAGCTCTTCTAACACCTCCTTGATGGCTTCCTCTGTCGCACTGTAATCCCACCTAAATAAGTGTTTAGAGTTAAAACAGTGCAGCTAGTCAGAAGATAGATCCTGTTCCCACTGCACAGAGAAACTTTTAAAGATGGATAATAAATTTATCTTACACAGACACCTAATTTCTCAAATGATTTTTCAGGAAAGTATATTGCCTTTGGTCAATGCCGAGATTTCCCTCTCCCCCCTAAAGATTTGTGCATTATGTCAACCCAACCAATAAGCATTCACCTGCCCACCCCCACAATCCAGCCTGATTTTCAGTCTCGCAGCGTAACTGGCAAGATGATCAGCCACTATGTATTTTTTCGTTCCTCAAATGGTGGTATTTAAGTATGCAAAACCAAACTAACTGCCCGTGTAGAGCAGTAAAGAAGTTGTGTGCTCTAGAGTACAGCTCTTGTCACCATCCCCTTTGTTCCTCCAGGCATTCAGCAAGTCCTACAGGCATTACAGGCTGCAGAACAGAGTAACACAACTCTAAGGTAAGTTTATTTCTAGTCCAGCGAGTTCACGCTTTCCTCTCTGCTTTGTGGGCAACCTACTTTGCATGGAGGCCATTCTTTTCAGGCATATTCCATGAGCTCTGAGTCACATTGACAAGACTGTTGGTGGCCTTGAGGACTGCAATCCACTCAGCATCGTACTCCAGTGAGTCACCTGCACTAGGATCATGCTCAATGTCTATTATCTGTTTAAAAAACAGCAAACAGATGAGGTGAGTTATTTCTCTTGACACCAGTAACTCATTAAAAGATTGAAGTGTTACTTGCATGGTACAGAGTTTTAATTAAGTTTCAAGCACACTGAGCTAGTAGTCTCAAATAAGTCCTCTCAATAGTCCTACATAAAGGTTTATAGCAATAAGGGAGTAAGAAAGGACAATCAGCAGAGGTAAAAAAAGCACTTCTGTATTTTAACTTGCAGCAATTATAAAGCCAAACACCCTCCTTCCTACTGCCAGCTACTGGACAGTTATGCAACTTAGAAACTAGGATTTGCCTACTCTCATGCCACCTTCTAAGCAGAAATACATCAGGAGTTGATAACAAGTTATTCTGCTGTACAAAACGCACTCTTAGCACAACAATGAGAACAACATGAAATGTTTTTAAACTCTTTCAACAGCTGACAAGTTGAAATCCAAATCACTTTGTCTTCAGTGACATTAACCCAAAAATCAATCCATTTGGTTTAGCCAAACTGCATTAGTCAGTCTCTCTTTTAAATAATCCATAAAGTAATTCAACCTTTTAAGGTAGTTTTAAGGAAAAAAAAAATAAATAGATACACTTTAAACCAGAGCTACACACAGGTGGATCACCATGCTGCTGGAGGTAGCACCACTCCAGATCGGTTTTGCCACAGGATTTTAAGTCCACACTAGCACCGCAGTGTACCTTTGCCTAGCAAAAGCCCATCCTTGTACCCTCCCACTCTCAAAGGTAGCTACTAGGGCAAATGGATCCCACCACACATCCAAAGGACAGATGAGGAACCATCTTCTCTTTGAGCTAACAAATAAAAACCACTTTAAAGTAAGACTACTGTAACATGTGACTGCATTTGAAGAACATACTGTCAGCAGCTCCCTCTCATAGCAAAGGATTTGAGATTCATCCAGTTGAGATTTCACAGATGGCACGCCGGGCAGCACACACAGACCACAGCACGAGCACTGTTTTCCTCTTGGCAAACAAGTTTGGCACTCATATTGAAAATTCCCACAGCCTAAACCTCCTACTTGTCCACTGCCCTTCCTAGCCAAGATATGCACCAAAAAGAAGCAGAGGCATTCTCCTAGGAAGTTGCACCAATTCCTGCCAGAATTCACAATCCTAAAAGGAAATTACAGTACTCAACTCAGGACTCAATCCTGTCTGAATTCATGAATTCAGATCTGAGGGAAAAGGCACTAGCTGACCCAAACTAAACTATGAAAGGAGAAGAGCTGCAAGATGGGCTTTCTTAGGTTTGACATTTAACAAAAAAACACAAGAGGAGATTCAATTCAGGTTAAAGTAGAGCTACTCTGCCAATTAAGTCACGTACTTGTTCTAAGGTGGAAGGAAATGGCAGGAATAAGCAAACACCATGCCTGCATGACAGGACGCACAGTCTGCTTACTTCAAGACAACATTACACGAAAACCATTCCACACATGCACCGTCCCTAGTTTCTTTCCAATCCTCCATTTATGAGAGCTATTCTTCAGTTTATATCTAAGCACAGCACTTAGCAGTGCAGGCAAGGCAAGTAGTTAAATAGTGAAAACCCACTGCACATGGTCATCACCTGCAGAAAGTCTCTGTGTGGCAGACATTTATCCAGAGCCAAAAACTTTGTTGCTTTTGGTAGCTCTTCTTTGGAGTTTGTCTAGGAAACAAACGGTGTTAACACAGTCATTAGCATTTCTATGAAATTTGACCATTCTAAACAAATTGTATAGAGAGATTTAAAGGCATAATTTATATAGAAAAAGACTTTATGAAATCAAAAAAATCAGCATGGGATTGTAAGAAAGGGATGTAGGGACAAAGAGAAAAATAGACTTCATTGGAAGTCTAACAGGAAGCTGGATGCAGCAAGTGCCACACTTCATCCTTAACCAAGACAGCTGAGCACACCTGGCCTTAAAGCAAAACCAGAAACTTTAACATCTCTTTAACTGACGTAAGCTAGTAGTCTTAACATCACTTAATGTTTTGCAGCTTAAGCCGACTTTTAATAACTGAGCAAAACCATTATGAAGTGGCTTTTCCGGACATGATTACCTCCATCGGAATTCTACAGTGTGCTTGGGACACATACATTCTTCATTTTCTTCCCCCCCCCCCCCTTTTTCTTGCAAATTTAACATGAAGATGTGCTGAGAACCAGTAGGTGGGTTTCAGATGCTGTAGAAGCTCTGAAGCAGCAGGGCTTCCCAATGTGTTGCTCTCTACTTCTTGACGGAAGAAGGATTTCATTTTAAGGAGCTGTTTCTTGTTTCCGTAGTGATATATGCTCCTTGGCCAGTCATGTGACATAAATATATCAATTGGACGTTTTAACTGTCAAGCCAAAATGCAGACAGTATAAATCAAACACACGTGATAAAGAAGTTTCAAAATTACTCAGCACAAGATGGAATATGCGTAACATGTTTACCCTGGATCAATACAGCATCAGCTGCGACCTCACTTTCGAAGCAAGGAAGTATACCACCGAGGCCCATCTTTCAGGTAGCCTTTGAAGTTATCAAGGGACTCTAGTCTCCATAGTTTGTACTACACTTTCTTGGGACAGACAGCTGTGTTTTATATATACTACCTCATAAAAGAGATTGTATCACCAGTGTCAGGCACCCAGAAGACTCTTGAAAATTACAGTTATAGAGTAAGTTCTCTACCCACAACCAAAGGCATCTTCTTCCTCATTATTTTTTTTAAAAGCATTGTTTAAGTGATAATGGCTAAACACAATATTCCTCCTCAAAGGATGCACCCCTCAGATGTCTACTCAACGCCTTAAGCATGTCTTCGTTCAATATCCAACATATTTCCATCAGCTGCATCAGCACACACTTCCAGATGAAGCCCAAGTCCAACTAATAAGAAACTTACAGTGAAACACATCAAACTTTTTATAATGACAGCAAACCTCTGTCGTACATCCAGCATCCCTATATCTACTGAACACTTAAAGAGTGCAACTGCAACCTGAATAATCATTCACAAGATGCATATAAATACATATAAAAACACAACCTCAGCCAGACAGAGTAGCCCTTGTGACAAAGCAGTGAGTAGGCAATAGCTACAAATAAATCTAATCTGTCCTTTGAATTTCTCACCCTGGAGTCAAAAATACTTCAGCCACAGGAATTTGTGATCAGCTTATTCACCTGGTTCAATTTTGACTAGTTAACTATGTGCCAACCAGCTCGCATGTTGAACAAGGTAGTATCCATTTTCCTAAAGATAACATGAAGCTGGAATGGAGGTGTATAACTAGAGTACCTTCCATTCTGTGAATTTTACCCAATTAAAAAAAAAAAACCACACCAAAAAACAGCAAATTAGATCTTTCTCCAGCTAAATCAGCTTACATAAAGCACTGGAGATTTGCAGCAGGAACAGTGGAATAACACCTGGCACAAAACAGCCTGTTCAGATCAGCCGGGAGTTGTTGCTAAAACCTGCTATCCAACAGAGTACTTGTTCAGGGTAGCTTTAGCATCTTACTTCTAAATTAATGAAAACTATTTACGACTTGGAAAAAAAAAAAAAAAATTTTCACTAACCTGCTTGAGTTTGAAGACTTCGATATTCCTTACATGGTAAGCACTTCTAATTGTTTGCTGGTTGTATGGTGGACACTCAAAGTGGCCTGAAACATTAAAAAAAAAAAAAAAAAAAAAGTACTTGCCTGAATAGTTCCCTCCTAACACTGTTGGCAAGCTAGCTTCCTGGGGTCACAGAGAAACAGAGAGCAACCCCAAATACAAGGCTGCCAATAATCAAAGGAGATACTATATTTCCTTTACACGGGGCTTACACCAACAGGTCACCAACTTTTTACGTGCAGGGCAAATACTTTGTAAAAATGCGTTTACAACAATGAGCACTCCAGCACTTAAAACCCAGGACCTGTCTGAAATAAGTAACTTTTGGCAGGAAGATTTACAAGCTTAATTCCTGAATGAGGCTTTGCACCTCTCTGGTGAGATAACACCCCCCCTACTTCCCCCACACCCTTCACCTCCACATGCAATCACATACATAGAGAGCTGTTTGCTACACAGCCACGAACATTGTATATATGCGTATACTAATGTCACGGCTACCCACGCAAACATGCTGGCACAGGCAAAGAACGTAAGGTACATGGGATCAGGCAAAAATTGGGCATTGACACAGTAAGAACACAGAGCAAGCCTCTGTGAGCGGTCAGTGATCAGAACATAAATTAGGACATAAGAACTCAGAAAGAGGTATAAAGTAAAAGATCACAAAGCACTGCATGAGATCCAACTCCTGACGGGCCAACCAGTCTGTGATTTTCTGTGCTTCTTCAAGAGTGCTGCCACCAACCATGAAACTACATCTTAACAGATTCAGCAGCAGCTTAAACATGCCTGTAACTGCCCACAGACTCTGGACGCACAAACACGTACTCTGTCAAAAGGGATGTAGTCTCCAACTTCGCCTTGGGACAAGAAACCTGAATGCCTAGCAGAGCTCCCACATACTCTTAAGAATGAACAGAAAAATTACTTTTTTAGCAGTTAGCATTACTGTCAATTATTGTCAAAGAAGTCTCATTTCCCAAATGCGATATTTAGGCATACAAACGTATGCTCGACAACAACAAATTTAATTAGCATTGACAGGTATTAGACAGAATCAGGTGTTCTAGGAAACTAGTTCAGTCTTTTGCAGCTTGAAAGCTATCTGCAAAGCTTCTCTGAAGCAGTATGTTACCAAAGATAATATTACTGTACAATAACTACAAGTAAGACACCGCTATTTAATTTGTTGTGGAGATCAGAAAAACTAAACTATCTTCTGCTGACACCAGGTATCATCTATGACAAGATTTCTGTCTGCTGATGGAGACCCTTCCAAGGAAGGCCTATTGAACACACATGCATACAGAATCATGGAACCGTTTGGGTTGGAAAGGGCCTTGAAAATCATCTCGTTCCAACTGCCCTGCCATGGGCAGGGACACCTTCCGCTAGACCAAAGCCCCATCCAGCCTGGCCTTGAACACTGCCAGGGAGGGGGCAGCCACAGCTTCTCTGGGCAACCTGTTCTAGTGCCTCACCACCCTCACAGTGAAGAGCTTCTTCCTAATATCTAATCTAAATCTCCCCTTTCAGTTTGAAACCGTTACCCCGCATCCTATCGCTACACTCCCTGATAGAATCCGTATATATAAACGGGAGGAACCAAACTCCAAGATGTACTGACACCAAGCCTCAGCTCAGGACAGTACATTTGTACAACAGCATACTTATAAACTCACTGTTTTTCACACAAGGAAAACTAAACGGTCTTGTATTGCACACTAAAAGGACACTGCCATGGAAAAATCAAGGCTGTTCCAACAACAACATTCAAGAGGTGCATTGCTTCCTACTGTGGTCACCAGGCAGCTACTGACTCATCTACCACCTCCAGAAAAATCCGCGTGTTGAGCCAAGATAAGTTCCAGCATAAGAGTCGATTCAGAGGAGAAACAGCCAGATCCTCCCGCGGCGGCTCGGGCCCAGTGCTCCCCGCCCCGCTGCCCACC